TAGAGGGCAGGGTTGTGTGGTGTGGACCATTGATGTGAGTGGACAACCTAGGGCGGTGTAACGCAGGGATTTGTTTGGACCATTATGGTCCGTGTATAACGAATAGTGAGTGGTGTGTGTGGAACAATGTGGATGTGTATATGGCAGGGTGCATTGTGTAGACCATTAGGCGTGTAACAGCAGAGTGTGCGGAATAAAAAGGGTAGGGATTGTGGTGTGAACCATTCTGGAGAATGGTATAGACAACCGATGCCTGTGTGGACGTTATGGATGTTGAAAGCGGCAGGGTAGAGGTGGACCATTTGTGGGTGGAGTAGACGGCAGGTGTGAGGTTTGGACTATTATGGTGGTGAAGATGCTGGTGTGTGGTATGGACCCTTGTGGATGGTAGAGGCAAGTGTGTGGTTTAGACACTTATGGGCCGCTGTAGACGGCATGGTGTAGTGTGGACATTATGGTTGGTGTAGACTACAGAGTGTATGGTGTCGACCATTATGGCGTTCGTATAAGGCAGGGAGTTTGGTGTGGGACCATTGTGATGGTCTAGAGGGACAGGGTGTATGGTGTGGACCATTGTGGGTGTTTAGACGGCAATTTTGGTTTGTGTGACCATTGGGATGGTGTAGAGGGCAGGGTGTGTGTGTTGTACCATTGTGGGTGGTGTGGACCATTATGGCGGTGTAGAAGCAGGTGGTGTGGAGTGGACCAATTGGGTTGTGCAGAAGGCAGGTGTGTGGTGTGGGACACTTATGGCGGTGTAGTACGGCCAGAGGGATTGGGTGTCTGACCATTTATGGGCGGAGTAGACGGCAGGGTGTATGTATGTACCACTTATTGGTCGGTGTATACGATAGGTGTGTGGTAGAGGACCATGTGGGTGGTGTACATGGCAGGATGCATTTTGTAAGACCATTATGGGCGGTGTAGACGGCAGGGTGTGTGGTGTGGATCATTATGGGCGGTGTAGACGATAGTGTGTGTGGTGTCCGACCATTGTGGGTGGTGGAGACGGCAATAGTGTGTCTATGGACCATTATGAGAGTGTAGACAACGAGTGTTTGCGGTGTAAAGGGTAGGGATGGTGGTGTGGACCATTGTGGATGGTGTAGAGGGCACGGTGTGTGGTGTGGACCTTTGTGGGTGGTGTACATGGCAGGGTGCATTGTGTAGACCATTTAGGGCGGTGTAGACTGCAGGGGGTGTGGTGTGGATCATTAATGGCGGTGTAGAAACTATAGGGTGGGTGGTGGACCATTGTGTAGGTGGAGACGGCAAAGTGTGTCGTATGGACCATTATAATGAGGTGTAACAGCAGAGTTTGTGCGGTGTAAAGTGGTAGGGATTGTGGTGTGGACCATTGGTTTATGGTGTAGACGGCAGGGTGTTAGGGTGAACCATTTTGGGTAGTGTATAACGGCAGGCTGTGAGGTTTTTGGACTTATTATTGGTGGTGTAGACGGCAGTGTGTGTGGTGTGGACCATAAGGATGGTGTAGAGGGCATGGTATGTGTGTAGACCATTATGGCTATGTAGACAGCAGGGTGTGTGGAGTGGACCATTATATGGTGGAGACGGCAGGGTATGGGTGTGGTACGATTGTGGGTGGTGTAGAGGTAGTGTATGTGTGATGGACCATTATGGGTGGTGTAGAGTTCAGAGTGTTGTTGTGTAGACCATTATGGGCGATAGTAGACATCAGGGTGTGATGCTTTGATCATTATGGGGTTGGTGTAGAGGGCCAGGGTGTGGTTGTGGACCATTGTGGTTTGTGTAGAGGGCAGGTTGTGGTGTGACCATTGTGGGTCGTTTAGAGAGCAGGGTGTGTGGTGTTGACCGTTGTGAGAGTGTAACGAACAGGGTGTGTTGGTGTAGACTCTGACGTGACAGAAAAGAGCATTGTTAGTGTCGGCAAGCCAAACACTATTTTTGTGCTTCCCTAAAGTCTGTCAGACGACATGATGTGTGGTGTAGACTAATGTGAAGTGGTGTAGAGGGCAGAGTGTGTGGTGTGAACCATTGTTTCGGTGTGTAGAGGGCAGGTGTGTAGTGACGACCATTGAGGGTGGTGTAAGATAAATAAGATTTCGTTCGGATTTTTAACCCGAGGGTTAGCCACCCAGGATAAACCCAAGAAAGTCAGTGCGTCATTCGAGACAGACTAACTTATTTTCCATTGGGGTCCTTAATCTTGTCCCCCAGATGCACCTACACCAGTCGACTAACACCCAGTGTACCTACTTGCTGCTAGTGAACAGGACAACGAGGTGTAAAGAAATGTCGAAATGTTTTCCACCCGCCGGGAAACGAACCCAGGCCCTCGGTGTGCTGAAGCGGAGCTTTAGCCACCAGGCCCACCGGGCCTGGTGTGTAGACCACAGGGTGTATGGTGTAGACTATTGAGGGTGGTGTAGAGGGCAGGGTGAGTGTTGTGGACCATTGTGGTTGTGTAGAGGGGAGGGGTGAGTTATGTAGACCATATGGCGCTGGTAGTCGTCAGATGTGTGGTGTGGACATTGTGGGTTGAGTAGATGGCAGGGTCTGTGGGGGGGGACCGTTTAGGGTGGTGTAGAGGACAGGGTGTGTGGACTATTTGTGAAGGTGTAGAGGGTAGGGTGTGCAGTGTGGACCATCGTGGGTTTGTGTAGATGGCATGTTGTTCAGGTGTGAACCATTATGGTCGTGTAGATGGCAGGGTGTACAGTGTGAATCACTGTGGAATGAGTAGATGGCAGGGTTGCAGTGTGAATCATTGTGGATGTGTAAAGGCAGGGTGTCAGTGTGGACCAATGTGGTGGTGTAGAAGGCAGTTTTGTTCCCATTAACTGATATAATATTATTCCAACCGTTGACTATGTCAACCAACAGCCAGTGTTGACCAGCCGATATATACTGTCCACCATACATCACATCCATACACATATACCTTCAGATTCTTAGTCTGGTTTTTATCGTAACTAACAGACTTAACTTCCATGCTGGAGAGGCCTTCTTTGCTCGTGTTTTAACCTTACCTTTATACTCACCAATATTTCATCATCAACTCAGCCAGTGCTCCTATTCATCAATCACGAGGTAGTAAGCGTCGCTTGTTACCATAAACAAAGTTTTCCAGTGGGCAACGGAAAACAATATGATGTTGCATGGGACAAATCAAGTACTTCGTTAAGGAAAAACTGGAGGAGATAATAACTAGAACAGAGTATAACTACAGACTCTTGTGCCATACAACTGAGGCGGAAAAAATATGTAAGGACCTGGGAGAAGTAATATCTGAGGATCTCACTTTTCACGGATCACAACAGTGCCACGATCACAAGTGCAAAGAAAATGATAGGAGGATAACGAGAGATGCCAAGCCAATGTTGATCCTTTTTTTCAAATCACTTGTTCTCTTAGGCTGGTAATACTGCTGGGAGTGTCGGGTGAAGGCAGTAACAGGATGAGTTGTATTGGAGGTAGTCGCTTGAGACTTTGGTTAGGCCAATTGTCCCATTAAAAATTTCAAAGGAAAGGAGAAGATGGAAACCGCGCTAGGTTTCCAGTCCTTATTAGTGGGTTAGTTTGGAAATGACAAATATATTTCCCTTTAAACGTACCGTTTTAATGGCGTTACCCTTGAAGGACGTCAAAACGCCTCTGGATGGTACGAACCGTTAAAGGTGGCGGTACCTGCAGGACGTTCAACGACTCTGGATTGTACGTACCGTCCCGTGTCGGTCTTGAAGCACGTAAAGACTCTGTAGGTACGTACCGTCCAAGTGTCGGTACCTTGATGCCCTCAACGACTTGGAATACGTACCGTCCAGTGTCGGGACCTTGAAAACACGTCAACGACCTTTGGGTGGTACGTACCCTCCAATGTCGTACCTTGAAGCACGTCAAAGACTGTATGGTACTACCGTCCAAGTGTCGTACCTTGATGCACGTCAACGACTCTGGGTGATACGTACCCTCCAAGTGTCGGGACCAAGCACTCCAAAGATTGATGGTACGTACCTCCAAGTGTCGGTACCCTTTAAGCACGTCAAAGCCTGGTTTTACGTACCGTCCAAGGTGGTACCTTTAAGCACGTCAAAAGACTCGGGTGGTAGTACCGTCCAAGTGTCGGTACCTTGAACACGTCAACGACCTGTATGGTATACCCTCCCCAAAGGGCGGTACCTTTAGCCGTCAACGATTGGATGGGTAATACCGCCAGTGTCGGGACCTTGAAGCCTCAAAGACTCTGGGTGGTGTACCGTCCAAATGTCGGACCTTAAGCACGTCAACGCTTGTATGGTACTACCGTCCAAGTGCGGTTCCTTGGCACGTCAACGACTTGGATGATACGTACCGTCCAAGTGTGGTACCTTGAAGCACGTCAACGACTCGGATGGTACGTACCGTCCCAAATTTCTACCTTTAAGCCGTCAAAAAGACTCTGTTTTTATACGTCCCCGTGTCGGTACCCTTTAAGCACGTAACGACTCTGGATGATACTCCGTCCCAAATTCGGGACCTTGAAGCACGTCAACGACTCTGTATGGTACGTACCGTCCAAGTGTCGGTACCTTGAAGCACGTCAACGACTCTGGATGATACGTACCGTCCAAGTGTCGGTACCTTGAAGCACGTCAACGACTCTGGATGGTACGTACCGTCCAAGTGTCGGTACCTTGAAGCACGTCAACGACACTGGATCTATATCCCGTGTATAAATGTTGACTGCTTCCCATTCCCCAGGAGCTGCATCATCACTTAGACTCGCATCCCGGGAGAATAATAACAATAATAATAATAATAATAATAATAATAATAATAATAATAATAATAATAATAATAATAATAATAGCAATAATAATAAAAATAATAATAATAATAATAATAATAATAATAATAATAATAATAATAATAATAATAATAATAATAATAATAATAATAATAATAATAATAACAGCAACAATAATAATAATAATATCAACACTCAGTGGTAACTATAGGGAAAAAATCTTCAAATGATGCCCAGATTATAACTTTATTTCCATTATAATTATATTTAAAAGAGAACCAAACAAATGTTAACACACAAAAACCCAGGCAAACATGACATCATTGTACTAGCACTTATAAAGAGGCAACTCATACGAGTTTAGCGTTTATTGGTTAACAAAACATTGAAGATTTTAAGTTAATGTTCTTTAAAAAATAACTCCATACAATTTGGTTATAGTTTTTTTACAAAAAATTAACATCGTGAGGGAAGCAGAATAAGTTAAAACACCTAACTTAACACTGTCCAGGGAGTAAGTTAAAGCAGCTAACTTAACACTGTCCAGGGAGTAAGTTAAAGCAGCTAACTTAACACTGTCCAGGGAGTAAGTTAAAGCAGCTAACTTAACACTGTCCAGGGAGTAAGTTAAAGCAGCTAACTTAACACTCTCCAGGGAGTAAGTTAAAGCAGCTAACTTAACACTGTCCAGGGAGTAAGTTAAAGCAGCTAACTTAACACTGTCCAGGGAGTAAGTTAAAGCACCTAACTTAACACTGTCCAGGGAGTAAGTTAAAGCAGCTAACTTAACACTGTCCAGGGAGTAAGTTAAAGCAGCTAACTTAACACTGTCCAGGGAGTAAGTTAAAGCAGCTAACTTAACACTGTCCAGGGAGTAAGTTAAAGCACCTAACTTAACACATGTCCAGGGAGTAAGTTAAAGCAGCTAACTTAACACTGTCCAGGGAAAGTAAGTTAAAGCAGCTAACTTAACACTGTCCAGGGAGTAAGTTAAAGCAGCTAACTTAACACTGTCCAGGGAGTAAGTTAAAGCACCTAACTTAACACTGTCCAGGGAGTAAGTTAGAGCAGCTAACTTAACAGTCCAGGGAGTAAGTTAAAGCAGCTAACTTAAAGCAGCTAACTTAACACTGTCCAGGGAGTAAGTTAAAGCAGCTAACTTAACACTGTCCAGGGAGACGAACACATACAGTTTACTTGTTTTGATGTGGGTAAAATATTGCTTGTTGCCACTGGGTGAAATTTTCAATATTGCCACGATATTATATGGGAAAGCTTGTTGTTGTTGGTACAGCTAGGTGGCTGATGTCACTGGTGGACGGTGACTTCTGGTGCAGGTGGTAACGTCAGGTGTGGGTCGTGGCACCAGCTTTGGGTCGTGGCACCAGCTTTAGATGGTGATGGTGTTGAATATCGTGAATGGTGCACGCGTAGCTGGTGCCACAAACTTGGTGATCACAGTGTTGGGGATGTCACCTCTGGATTGTGACTTGAATACGAATACATCCAAATAGTCTAGGAGACTTCAAAGATGGATCTCGCTCACTGTAGATATGGCCTGGTATTTTCCTTCCTGGAAGGCAATCTGGGAGGCGCTGCTGGAAAGCTGGGAGCCGCTGCTGGGCTGACACACGTGTTCACACAATTTTGAGTCAAGCTGTCGAGCTTGTAACAAGGTTCTCTGCATGGTGTTGTGATGGCAGAAGTTGCAGACGCACCCTGGTTAATAACCTTACTATAAGTCTTCCAAAGTGTCGGGGAGGCCAGGATGACCTGGAGCAGCAGGAGGCAGCAGAGTGTAAGCTGTGTCTTCATGGTGTAGCTATGATCACAATAACAACTTGCTACACCTCCGCTACATTAATACTGGCCCTGCCTCTCCCTGGGTTTACATTTCATCACATTTCTGTCATATCTTTATTCCTCTTCTGATCTCCATTGATTTATTATTTACATTTATTTTATCATTAAAAAAACTATCGCAGCGAAAAAAAAGTGGCAGTGAGCATATATTTATATTACGGGAATATTGCACAATTGCATACATGTTAACTCAACATACAAAAGCTTAAGAAGGAAAAACTTCCTCTCTGCAGTTATGACCCCTCAAGGAAGGTTCCTTGATGTTGGTGAGGGGCTCTTGATTTAGGGAATTGGATCTGTGCTCCAGTTCCCCGAATTAAGCCTGAATGCCTTCCACATCCCCCCCCACAGGCGCTGTATAATCCTCCAGGTTTAGCGCTTCCCCCTTGATTATAATAATAATAATCTGCAGTTATGTCAACAGAAAATTCTATCAAGGTTACTATTAACTGTATTATTGTGTTTTTCCGTTGCTTGACTGTTTAATGTTAATTTAATTTAACTTGTCAGTGCAAATAATTTATGTATAAAAAACGTGTATTACATTATCATTCAAGCAATAGTTATTTAAATGTAGTTGTAATAATTAATGAAGATTAAACTCTGAGGCATCCAAACATAACATTGTGAAGGTCTCCCCTCATGGTCGTTTTTTGTGTATTATTGAATGAGATTCTCAGTATTGTGTGGTTTCCCTGGTCTACAATATATACATTGTTATGTATATGTAGCCTACACATACATGATGACTCACGGAGGAGTATGGAGGACGGAAGTAACATGTGATTTCACAAAACACTGATAGTATTCGGCTCACAACAGCAGGGTCCTGAGTTTGATTCAGCAGCGAGGTGCCCGTGGCCTGGTAGACAAAGCACGCTGTGGGTCCAGGGTTTGTTCCCCGGCGAGGGTGAAACATTGGGCGTACTTCCTTACACCGGTTATCTCTTTTCGCCCATCAGTAAAATGGGCACCTGGGTACTAGTCGACTGGTTGGGTCACATCCTGGGACAAATATTGACCTAATTTACCCGAAATGTTCTTCATAACAAGCGACTTTCTAAAAGTACATGTACTGGTATAAATACAGATCATTATTATGAAGGTGTAGGTACGAGTAATTAGATACTCGTTGTCCTTCACCTCTCAGTAAATAGGTGGAGGTAATTAGTTTCCTAATACCTGGAGCTCTTGTTCACATAGTAAATATGTATGTGGGACCTAGTGGATTTTTGAGAGGACACCAGTGGTGTGGGCAGTATCTGCGGGGAACACCAGTGGTGCAGGTCGTATCTGCGGGGAACACCAGTGGTGCAGGTCGTATCTGCGGGGAACACCAGTGGTGCAGGTCGTATCTGCGGGGAACACCAGTGGTGCAGGTCGTATCTGCGGGGAACACCAGTGGTGCAGGTCGTATCTGCGGGGAGCACGAGTGGTGTAGGCCTTATCTGCTGGGAACACCAGTGGTGTGGGCCATATCTGCGGGGAACACCAGTGGTGGGTGCTGTATCTGCGGGGAACACAAGCAGAGTAGGCCGTATCTGCGGGGAACGCAGGTAGGCGTTCCGGACGCATGGTGTAGCCTTGCGGGAACACGTGTGAGTCATTCTGCGGGGAACGCCAGTGGTGTAGGCCTTATCTGCTGGGAACACCAGTGGTGTACGTCGTTTCTGCGGGGAACACCAATGGTGTAGGCCATATCTGCGGCGAACACCAGTGGAAACAAGCAATACTACCTCTAACAATAAGTCTCCGTGAAGGCACAAACCAATGTATCAGGTGTGGGAACACTTCGACACCTGATCCATGATGATACATTGTGTGGAAACATCTCTACACCTCCCCCACGATGATACCTGGTGTGGGAACACCTCTACACCTCCCCCACGATGATACCTGGTGTGGGAACACCTCTACACATGAACCACAATGATACCTGGTGTGGGAACACCTCTACACATGAACCACAATGATACCTGGTGTGGGAACACCTCTACACATGAACCACAATGATACCTGGTGTGGGAACACCTCTACATATGAACCACAATGATACCTGGTGTGGGAACTCCTCTACACATGAACCACAATGATACCTGATGTGGGAAGACCTCTACACATGAACTTCCATGGTACTTGGTGTGCGTACACCTCTACATCTGGGTCTGACCTCACAATATGTGGTTGATACTAGTTCTCTTGAAATCTCGCAGGAGGTTTGGTGAAGGTAAGGGGGAGGGACAGAGGTGAGGAAGGGGTGGAGCAGGGAAAGGGGAAGACATGCTCGAATCTTGCAATCTCAAGGTGGTGGGTGAGGGAGGAGGGTAAGGAAGGTGTAAGAGACAGACAACCTGGGAACAAACAAGGTCACATAACTCTCATCATGCCTAGTTGATGTATATTAAGCACCCGGAGACTGTAAATGCCTCCAGTTGCTGATAGTTGCTTTCGGGTAAGGTTGGTTATGCCGTTATTGCATTCTCATATATTTACGTTCTACATATTTTAAAACGTTACATTTTGGAATTTGCTGAACGAAGATCAAAATATTCACTCATTGCTAATGAAAAATACTGGTTACATCACCTGAACTGGACAAGTGTTGGTAAACATTAAAACCTTGGCCTTGTCTCTCTTCTTCAGTGGTTGGAGGAGAGAGAGGGAAGACTGGATGCTGACGAAGGGCTTTTGATTCAAGGAATTAGAGCTACATTCCCTTCGGACCAAACTCGATTACCTTCCCTTCCCCAGTGTGGCTCCTAGTATTTCACAGTAATTATTATTATCATTACTTATATTATTATAAATGTTGAGTCATCTGCAAAATGGACTGGTTAAAGCTCATGGGCGGCATTTGGTGGATCACTGATGTAGAAGAGAAATAACGATCTGTTCTGTTCTATATTTGCTGATACAATCGCCTGGCTTGGGCCTTTTCCAATTGGTGGCCCGGCCTTTGCTCCCTGTCGAGGGAGTGTCTCAGACCAATGTCTGCCATGGGAAGAGGTACAAGTACCTCCTTGTCTTCTGGGACTAGTTGTTCCCAGGCCCAGCCCCATTCCCCACCCCCAAGGGCCTCGGAGGAACAAGCTAGGCACCTTGGGCTGCCACAAACCCCGCCCACAGTGGGCTCGAAGGATGTGTCAGATGTATAGCAGCAGACGATGTCAGGAGGTGCAAAGGCAGCAAGCACTATAGGATCCTTTTTGAGCCACACCCCAGCTTTGGACCGAAGCCCGAGCACTGGGGAAGCTCAAGAATGGCTCTTGCTGTGTGTTTTGTTGCTGCTACTTCACTTGTCCGTTGCAGTGGACCAAAGACACTACCCAGAGGCACATCTGTTTTGGTAACCTGGGTTGATGAGGTAGTGTCACTGATAGTCACAAGTTGTCGTCTGTTTGTAAGACAGGACTTTACGTATACAAGAGGATGTTCTCTGATTCCATAATGCACTAGTTTAAGCTGCAAAATGTTGTGGTCTTCGGTGTTAAAAGCTTTTCATAGATTAATAAAGAGAACAGTGAATATTCATTGTTTACTAAAGGGAAACTGGCGAAGAAAGAATGAGGAGGAAAATGAAGGAATAAGAGTGTGATTTCTTTTTGACTCACACACATACGCACAGTGTTGGACACAATACATACAACCGAGGAAGAAGTGTAGAGGCTGTTAAGCGAGCTAGACACCTCAAAGGCGATGAGGCCGGATAACATCTCTCAATGGGTCCTGAGAGAGGGAGCAGAGGTGCTATGTGTACCACTAACAAAAATATTCAACACATCTGTCGAAACAAGGAGATTACCTGAGGTATGGAAGACAGCAAATGTAGTCCCAATTTTCAAAAAAGGAGACAGACAAGAAGCACTAAACTGAAGACCAGTGTCACTAACATATATGGTATTCAAAGTCATGGAGAAGATTATCAGGAGAAGAATGGTGGAACACCTAGAAAGGAATGAGCTTATCAACAACATCCAACACAGTTTCAGGGATGGGAAATCCTGTGTCACAAACCTACTGGAGTTCAATGACAGAGTGACAGCAGTAAAACAAGAGAGAGAGAGAGAGAGGAGTGGGTAGACTGCATTTTCTTGGACTAAAAGACGGCATTTGACACAGTTCCACACAAGAGATTAGTGCAAAAGCTGGAGGACCAGGCAGGGATAACAGGGAAGGCACTACAATGGATCAGGGAATGCCTGTCAGGAAGACAGCAGTGAGTCATGTTACGTGGCGAGGTGTCAGAGTGGGCACCTGTGATCAGCGGGGTCCCACAGAGGTCAGTCTTAGGACCGGTGGTGTTTTTGGTATTTGTGAATGACTTGACGGAAGGAATAGACTCCAAAGTGCCCCTGTTTGCAGACGATGTGAAGTTAACCAGAGGAATTCAATCAGACGAGGACCAGGCAGAACTACAAAGGAATCTGGACAGGCTGCATGCCTGGTCCAGCAATTGGCTCCTGGAGTTCAATCCCAACAAGTGCAAAGTCATGAAGATTGAGGAAAGGCAAAGAAGACCGCAGACGGAGTACAGTCTAGGGGGCCAGAGACTACAAACCTCACTCAAGGAAAAAGATCTTGGGGTGAGTATAACACCAGGCACATCTCCTGAAGCGCACATCAACCAAATAACTGCTGCAGCATATGGGCGCCTAGCAAACCTCAGAACAGCATTCCGACATCTTAATAAGGAATCATTCAGGACCCTGTACACCGTGTACGTTAGGCCCATATTGGAGTATGCAGCACCAGTTTGGAACCCCACACCTAGCCAAGCATGTAAAGAAACTAGAGAAAGTGCAAAGGTTTGCAACAAGACTAGTCCCAGAGCTAAGAGGTATGTCCTACGAGGAGAGGTTAAAGGGAAATCAACCTGACGACACTGGAGGACAGGAGAGATAGGGGGGACATGATAACGACATACAAAATACTGAGAGGAATTGACAAGGTGGACAAAGACAGGATGTTCCAGAGATTGGACACAGTAACAAGGGGACACAGTTGGAAGCTGAAGACAC